TAAGCTATCTGTGCCTTTACATCCGTAAGGTGAGTATCCTGTAGACAGTATAGTTTGGTCTTACCTTTTTACCCAGTTTTGACAATCCCAGGCTTTACATTTGTGTCTTTAGTCTATTGACAGTTAATAGAATTATTGATATGGTTAGGTTCAAGTCTACAATCTTATTATATGTTTTCTGTTTGTCCCATTTGATCTTTGTCCTCTTTGTCTTCTTTTTGTGCTTTCTTTTGGATGAAATGAGTAATTAGTATCCCATTTTATCTCTTTTGATTTATAGTCTATATCTCATGTGTGTTTTATTTGTTGCTCTAGGCAGTTTATAGTATACATTTTTAATTTCTTACTGTCTGCTGTGAATTAATATGGTGCCACTTTATGTATAATGTAAGAACCTTGCAACAGTAGATTTTTGTTTTCCATCCTCCTGTCTTTTGTGTTATTATTGTCATAGGTTTGATTTCTACATATATTATAACCCTACAGTACTTTGTTTTTATTTCAGTTATCTTTAAAATTGTGCTGAACACTGGAATTTGACACAACATTGTAAAATGATTATAAATCAATAAAAATGTTAAAAAAATCAATATTAAGAAAATAGGTCAAAGGTAAGGTCATGGGAAATAGAGCACAACTGTACACATATGTACATAAGATATTATTAAGTCATAAAATTGGCTTTGAGTTCTCTGACAGCCATAGCAAAAAGAAAGACATATATTCTGTGTATGAAACTTATCTTAACTCATCTAAGGAAGGGAAAAAAAAGAAATTAGAAATGAAAAATTATTCTATATTTATTCACATGTATATTACTTCCAGTGCTTTTCACTTCTCTATGTAGATCTTTGTCTCCATCTAGCATTTTTTCCCTTCTACCTGAAGTCCTTCCTTTATCATTTCTGGTAGTGTTAGTATGCTGGCCTTGATTTCTTCCAGATTTTGTTCATCTGAAGATGTCTTTATTTTACCTTCAATTTCTTTGAAGGATATATTTTTGCTGCGTATAGAATTCTAGGCTGATTTTTGCCCCCAGAACTTTAAAGATGTTTCATTTTCTTTTGGCTTGGGTTATTCTGATGAGAAGTCAGACAGAGGGTATTCTTTTTCCCTCTCTATTAAATGTGCTTTTATTTCTGTTTGCTTTTAAGACTTTCTCTTTGTAACTGGCTTTCATCAACTTGTTTATGATGTGCCTTGGTTAGTTTTTCATTGTGTTTTTTTCTTGGATTTATTGAGCTTCTTGAATATATGAGTTTATATTTTTCATCCAGTATGGGGAAAAATTGGCCATTATTCAAATTTTTATCTCCCCTTTCTGGGAATCTAGTTACATATATATTTTAGATTGCCTGACATTATCCCTTACCAAAGCTGTGTTCATTTTTTCAGTCTTCTTTCTCCACTCTGCTGAATGAAACTCAAATATCTTCCATCCACATGTAAACTGTGAGTGTTAGCTTTGAATTTACTGTATTTGTTCTTTCTGGTAGGTATTCTTTGGTCTTATAGTGTGTCACCTTCCACAGGCAAACTTAGTATTCAGCCAAAGATTCAAGCGAATGTGTATTCAGATTTCTGGAGTTTTAGGGGGGGTTTTTTGTTTGTTTTTTATAGGTCCTTTCTTTCTGGTATTATGCCCCACAAATTCCCACTATCTTGGCCTTCCTGAACTCTTATTTCTGTCTCCTAATCTTAGTGAGACTGTTCAGGATTCTGCTCACTGGACCATGGTCTGGATGTAATTTTAGGTAGAAAGCTGGGATATATTGTAGCACTCATCTTTTTTTCGGTCTTATCTCAGTGATCACAGGCATGTGCTGCCTGATGTACCACGTATGCTGCAATTTGTCCAGTTTCCTAGTTGTTTATGGCAGGAGGATTAGTCCCATATCAGTTATTCCATGGCCATAAGCAGTAGGTCCCTATACATTTTGGTTGCTATTGTATTTTTAAAATTTTTTTTCTAATTTTGGTTGTCAGGTATATAGGAACAAAATTAATTTTTAAATATTTTTGTACACAAGAAAACATTTCTGAACTATTTAATAATTTCTCATAAATTGCAGAATCTCTTGGTTTTTCTGTGCAGATAATCATAGTATTCATGACTGAGGACAGTTTTATTTTTCCTTTCCAAGAGTTATTAATTTTATTTATTTTTCTTATATTAATGCATTGGTTACTACCTTCAGCACTGTATATTAAATGTTTTAGCAACCACTCTTGGTTGTTTTTCTTCCCCTGAGTCTAAAGAATTCTTTAATGTATCATCTTTAGGTATAATGTTTGTATGTTTTTGGTTGATTCCCTTTATTAGTTTAACAAAGTTCCTATCTATACCTATTCTGTTAAGGATATTTTTTAAGTCATATATGTGTGTTGAATTACATAAAACACATTTTCTGCATCTATTGAGATGATCACATTCTTTTTCTTTTTGTCTGATATGATGTTGAATTATATGGGTGGCTTCCCTCTTTATCTGTTTTGCATGTAATTGGAGATACCTGCTATTTAAATATTTGAAAGCATCCATCTGTGAAAGCATTGGAGCTATTTTGTCTGGGTTTGGTTAGGGTGTTTTTCTGTGGATAAATTTTTAATTACTGAATTTCTTTACATTTATAGGATTTATTCAAATTTTCTTTGTATTATTAAATATGTTTGGGTAAAATACTTTTTTTCTAAGAAATACTCCATTTTGTCTCTGTTTTCAAATGTATGGGCACAGAGTTGGTAATACTGCTTTTACCATCTCTTTTGTTCATAGGTATGCACTTTCATTCCAAAATGTATCTTCTCCCTTATTTCTTGATCTGGTGTAAGAATGGTTTTTTTAAATTTTATTTTAGAAACAGATTTTTAAATCTGTTCTATTATGTCTTTATTTTGGATTGTGTCATATTTTTGGTCCTATGCTTATTATTTCCTTATTTCTCCTTTCTTTACCTTTACCCTAATTTTTACAATTTGTTTTGATGACTGCTTAGGTCATTTATTTTTACTTTTTTCCTAGTAAGCATTTATGGGTATAAATTCTCAGTACTGCTTTAGCTACATTTTACAGGTTTTACTATGTAGTATTCTTACAAATCTTTAGTACTAAATATTTGCTGATTTCTAAAGCTATTTAGGAAATGTTGTCATTGCTATTGTTTTAAGTATCCAAGTGTATAGCATTTTATATTATCTTTTTGTTCATGATTTCTAATTCAATTGCATTAGGGCCAGAGCATATGGTCTGTATTATACTATTCTCGGGTATTTGTTGATCTGTTTTATTGCCTAGAATGGCCTAGCTGTCTTTTGTGTTCTGAAATTTCACTATGATGCTTCTAAATGTGGTATTATTTTAATTTATCCAGATTGGGTCACATTTTCCATTCTGGAAAAAATTCACCTATTAGCTCTTTACTGCCTATCTCCATTCTTGCTAATCTTTTCATCTGGAAGTCCTCGTAGATACACTAGGCCTTCCCATTCTATCCTTCATGCATCATAACTTCTTGTTTTATATTTTCCATTTCATTATCTCTCTATAAAGGTAATATGGTAAATTTCCTCATATCTGTATTCCATTTACTAATTTTCTCATCTGGCTTATCTTAATATATTGCTTGATCCATCCTTTTAAAATTAATTTTGTTGAACGTGTTTCTACAGAATTTCTCATTTGTTCTTTTTTACAACTACTTTTTCTTTTTTCATATTTTCAGTTCCTTATATTTTTGTTTTTAATATTTTGAACAATTATTTTATAATGGCTTTCAGATATTTCAATTATGAAGTTCTTGGAGGTCTCATACTGTTGGAGGAAAGGAGGGTGTATGTGTGTGTCCTAATTCTAGCACATGGTAGATTGTTTTCTTATGTGTTTTCTAATTTTGGATGGTGAGCTCATCTTCAGCTGGTGCCTTATCTGTGGAAATTCTGTGGAACCTGGCTTTAGAGAGTATCTCTCTAGAATGGTTTGGTCTTTGCTTCTCCTAGAACCTTAAGATTGACTCATTCTAATGACACCCTTTTTCTCCCCATGCAGAGAACAGACCAAGAAGTACAAAATTCCTTGTTTTCTTCCTTTGCTAGTGGAAGGATTTTCTAAATGAAACTGTAGCCTCTAGAAGTCTGGGTTATACCTAGGGAGTGGGTGGTGGGTTTTAGTTTCAGTTCCCCACATGGATTCTCCTTCACCCAGGAGGGCATCTAATGCCCAAGCTGCCTCGTTGCATAGCTGTGCTTTTCCATCCCCACAATAGCACAGGTTGGTATACTCACCAATTGTTCTCAGTGTCTTCTCAGTGTTTGACCCCTGAGCTTCCTCTTATTTTCTTGAGAGCATTTGCAAGAGGTTTGCTACTCCTTCTTGTTTAACACACATGTATTTGAATATCATTAACTTCTATCTTGAGATTTCAACCTTGAGGTGTTATGTGAGTCTAATTATACAATTTGAAGCAGAGAACTTTGGTGATTTCAGGGTCATTTCTTATATGACCAGGATTTCCATGATACCAACAGTAAATGAAGATTTTGTCTGTTGTGGTATGATATTGTGGCTAGATCTGAAGCTTTCAACCCATGTCTGTCTTTGTTTCATTAATTGTTCTTGAAATTAGTGGAAATTAGAGGAATTTAAGGGTATGGAATTAAACCTACAAATATTTGACTTTTGAGCTATGTTATGTAACTTCACAGAATGTTTTTGTGACTTTTTCAAATATATTCATTTGTAATGTTATTGTGACAAACATTCATTCATTAGGGACCACACAATGAAGCAAGTCTTCAACATCTACATAACATATGAGAAGGTAATTGGTACTTAATGAAATTCTATCTTTAAAAGAAGTAGGCATTCCTTGAGGGAAAGATGCTATGCAACTGAGAATTTTGATTAGTCTTATTGCTTTATGCGATTCATCATGGAATGATTTCTTAGTAAAATGTTGCTCCACTTTGATTTCAGAATTCTTTGTTACATCACCAGATAATGGATGAGGATGAGAGAGAAAATGAGAAGAGGTATGAATTCATAACTGACTGATATTTCTGTCCAAGCCCTCTCCCTTGCCCTCTACTCTCATTTCACATCTAGCAAAATCCTACTTCCTTGGGGAAACGACTCACTCAGGGATGTTTGATCTCTCTGGTGGGTGTTCCATAACCCCTAGCCCCAACTCTACTATAATACTTAATACATTACCTATGTACTTGACAGCCTCCTCATCAAACCGTGTCCTCCATGTCTTGCATAGCGGCTGCCCAGAGCTGACAGTAAATAAATGGGTTTTACTCCCTGATAGGTTGAGAAGCCTGTTTTGGAACCTTGGCTTGGCTGAGTTTAAATTAATTTACATATGAGAAAATAAATTACCTTCTTTTCCAATTCAAGAATCTCAAGTAAATTCCAGTACACTAATCAAAAAGTTTTTGTCAGAATTTTTCAATATAGTCTGTCTTTTATAAAGGTAAAAAAAACTTAATTAGCATTTTATTGCTCAGCCTTCTCTTTGAGAAGGAGCACTGGTTTTGAAAGAGCCTCTTGAGTAATTATAGATCATTTAGAAATAATTTTCTTTAATAATAAGTTTTCTTGTAAAAGCAGGTAAGAATATATGATGAAAAGACCCATCATTAAATTCAAATCAATTTAGATTTATTTTATATAATTCATGGGCCACTGTGCTTTGCTATGGAAGATATGGAGACAGATATGGTCCTAACCTACCATCAAAAACCTCACAGTCTAAAGGATGTGAGATTGGCTTTCATTTGCTTGTTTTAATATTGACAGTTTTTGTTTTCTTATGAGTTATCAAGGGACTGGATTTTTGCTCAAATGTTGACATTAACATCTCCCTTTTTCTCTTCTTATTTCTCCCCATCCATTTTTCCATCATCTGAATTCCAGCCCTCCCCTTATTATTAATAAAACTTGATTGTTTTTTGTCAATTAGGGATAAAGTTGATGAATCTGAAAATAAAAGGAAGGAACGCATCAATGCCATCTTCACAAAACTGCGTGCCATGCTGCAAAGTCATGGTTATCCTGTGAAAGGAGACAGAGCTAAAATGTCACAGAGCACTGCTGCCCTTTCACAGAAGAATGAAGGTTAGAACTGAGCACCCTGACATATCCTTATAGCTTTCAATTAGCCATATTGAAAATGAGTTGTGGGTTAGACAGCTGGATCTCTCCCTTTACCTCAAATATCTTTGGGAGGGATTAATGACGAGATGAGTTCCTGAAGCACCTTCTAATACCTGGATATTTAGTTTCTCCCAATTCATAAGTTTGTTTATGGTCAATGCTGAAGATATTATTAAGTTTCATGCAAAGGTGGAACAAAGAAATGAGAATTAGTAGACGTATACTGGGTAATAGTAATTCAAACTGCTGTATCTTAAGCACTTGAAGCCATGTAGTAAATGTTGATGAGGGAACATGGCCCCAAGGGTGTAAAATAGTACCTATAGTACTTAAGTAGGTGTGAATCAAAAAATTTGAGCAGTTTATGCCCAGAAACATGTAATTGTGCTGTAAACATCCCTTACCTTAAAAAAATATTTTTGTGACCCCATGATACCTCCAGCTGTCACTGTATTTCTGTGCCCCCTTCACAGCAAAACTTCTTGAAATAATGGGTTAGACCCTGTCTCCACTTCCTCATGCCTCATTCTTTCCTCAGCCCACTTCCCTGAGGCTGGAGCTACTCCCACTACAGTATAACTACTTTTGTCGGGAATAGCAGTGGCCTCCACGTTGCTGAATCCATCGGTTCCTTGACTGTCCTCATCTTTCATGACCCTTCAAAAACATTGGACAGGTAACCACTCCCTCATTTTTCTCTTGGCTTCCAGGATAACTGAATAACTGTATTCTGATATCTCTCTGAGCTCACTGGCCATTCCTTCTCTTGCATTCCCTACTTCTCTTTTCAATGTCTACTCATCAATGCGCCCCAGGGCTCGGTTCAAGGACCTTTGCTATATCTATGCTCATTTCTTAGGTGATCTCATCCAGTCCCTTCATTTGAAGTGCCACCTGGATATCAATGCCCTCCACTTTTCAAATCTATCTGCATCCTTGACCTCCTACCTCAGCTCCATATTTGAGACTCACACTCATTTTTTAACTGTAGTATAGTTGATTTATAATGTTGTGTTAGTTTCTGATGTTCAGCATAATGATTCAGATATATACATATATATATATACACACACACACACACACACATTCCTTTTCCTATTCTTTTTCATTATAGGCTATTGCAAGCTACTGTATATAGTTCCCTGTGCTATACAGTAAAACCTTGTTGTTCAGCTCACACTCATTATTCAATCAGTGAGAGAGTTCCCTACATGACTTCTTCACTTGGATCTGTAGGGATCTGTAGTAGGAAAGGTAACATGGCCATTAAGGAACTCCTGATTCCTCACATTCTCATCTCTGGTTCTGCCAATTTCAGTAAATGGTACCACAATTCTTTTAGTTGCTTAAGCTGAAAATCTGGAAATCATTTTTGTGTCCTCCATTTCTCTCACCTCCTCACCCAATCCATCAGCAAATCCTTTGGGCTTTACCTCTAAAAGATATCTCAGATCCATCCACTTCTGCCTATTTCCATAGCCTTGGTGTGCCCATCTCATCCAGGCCACCACTGTCTGCTTCTTTTGAAGATGCTTTCCAAGTAAGACTCTCTTGCTTTGGCTCTCACTCCCCAATTTGACCTATTTTTCACAAAGAGCCATAATGATCTTTTAAAAACATATGTCATTCTCCTGCTTAAAAGCACTTCATGTTCCACTCAGAATAATGCCAAATCCCTACCATATACCCCACATAACCTGCTCCTGCCTATCTCTCAGACTTCATTTCCTACTACCCTATCCCTTGGTCACCCTCCAGTAGCCCCTTTGGCCTCCTGTTATTTAAATAGGCCAAATTCTTTCTTGCTTCCCTTTGTACTTCCTGCTTCCTTTGCCTGAGATGCTTTGTTTGCACCCTGGTTTTCACCTGGCTGTGATCCTGTCATTCCTGAGCTTGGCTCAGCTGTTACCTTCTCAGCAAGGCTTTTCCTGAGCAACCAGTCTAAATTACTGTACTTAAAGAGATATAAAATCACCGGTTCCATTGTCTATGTGTTGGTTATCTGTCTACTTCCCCCATCAGTCTGTATGATACAAAAGGACAGACACTTTATTTGTCTTGTTCATACTTTGTCCTGGGCGTCTGAAACAGAGTAGGGTACATAGTAGGAGCCCAGCAAATATTTGTTAAATAAATGAATGATGAATGATTTTCAGTTTACCAAGAATGACTGAGTCCCTGTTGTGAGTTAAGGACTATGCTGGACCCTAGGGTTTGGGTGAAGAATTGGATATGGTATCCACCCTAGAAGCAAAACAAGAACAAGTTCATGGGTAATATATAAGGTAGAAAAGCCCTTTATAGTTGATTTATAAAATACATTGGTTTTGTTTCTTGAAAATATATGGACTCTATTCTGTCTTCTTGATTCTTTGCAGGGAGTATAGGAGGTGAAAGTCACTAGGTGGAGCTGAAAGTTAGTGAAGAATGACCTCTGAAATCAGCCATGGGAGAGTGTCATGTGTTGTCTCCTAAGTTTGAGGAGCTGTGATGTGAATTGAGTTTCCAGTCTGGGACAGTAATCAAGATCACAATCTTGAGGCAGTCGTGCAATGGGCATGGTTTAGTTTTCATATTATTTCTACTTCCCACTTAACTACACACCTACTTCCCATTCCCCCTTTAGTGAGGGTTCTGGAGCTCTTCTGCTCATGCTTGGCCTCCTTCTTATCCATATCTTCTCATGGGAAAGAATTGGAGATGCCTGCCCACCAAGAAAGCAAGTGCTGCTTTCAGAATTGTCCTTGTCAAGAGATTGAATATTTTTCATAGGGATCGAAGTCTTATGTCAGGGGTCTGTGACATTTTTGTGAGGAGAAGAAACTAACGTTTGTTAACATACATTAAAATAACTGGAGACTGGAGGGCTGGTTAGTGAGGTCTCTGAATTAGTGAACTTAGTGGAGTAGATGGGATTGAGGGAGGTAGAGAGGGGCAGATGTTGACAGTAAAGGCTCCAAGTGAGCACAAGAGCTGAAACACTGCTCATTCGAAAAACCAGAAAATCTTCAAGAATGAAGAAGGATATATGGCAGATAGAAGAGTGTCAACAGCTTTGGAGAGTTACAAGATGAGGCTTAAAGATTTTCTAGTTAAGGGCCCCTGCTAAAAGCTTAATTAGATGAAACTAAATGATGGCATTCTCTGTTTTAGCCAGGGATTGGGAAGATTTTAGATGCTTGAATACATCTACAGCACATGACACAGCCTGTACCATATCTGGCATATGATGAATACTGGGTTTTGATAGAATTCACATAGAAGTCATTAAAGAAATCAAGGAAAAGAAAGACTGGAGGTTGAAAATTTAAAAGTTGTTAGAGTGGTCATAATGTGTATAGTAGAAATTGAGTTGGATGATCTTCAAGGTCTTTTTCAATTCCAAACACTTTGTTTATGATCATTTATAAGCAATTAGTTATTCTACATCAGATCCTTCATTAGCACTCAGAATTTTCTCATGAGAGTCTTTCTATAAAATCAGTTATAACTTTGAAAAATGTAATACCCATAAGATAATCACTTTAATGTGATGTTTTAATTTTAATCATTTCTTCTTTTTTCTAAAAAGGCAAAGTCAATCCAGAAATGTCTCAAGAGAAATCTAGCTGGATTCCATCATTTCAAAGCTATGAAGTATTCAACCATATGACTCTACAAGTAAGAAGGGATTAGTTCTTTGATTACTTCATATGTGGAATACATGCAATAGAAGATAAAGAAGAGTGTTTTCCAAAGTGTGGCTAGGAGACCCCGCAAATCAGAATTACCTCGGTAGCTTGGTAAAAATACAGGTTCTTAGGACTCACCTTAAACTGAATGAATGAAAATCTCAGTCCTGCTGAGGCCAGGACCCTGCATTACTAATAGATTCCCCAGATCCTTCTGCCAGCTGAACCCAATGATCTCGAGTGACAATGAAAATGAACAATTCTTTACATAGGTTAGTAGCAAGTTAAATAATTATCTGGTAGACTCACTCAACACCGATTGTTAGACTCTATGGAATAAGCCTTTAAGTCTTATTGTTTTCCTCAAGGTCATGAGATGTTTGTGGTTTCTAGCTCCAAAGAAACTGGTAAGATTCACTAACTTCAAAGGCCACAAACTTAAGCATGAATGACCCTGGTCTTTTGAGTCAGACACATAGGGACATGTCACTTAGTTGTTATGTGTCCTTGAGAGAATTACCATCTCTGAGCTTTGATTCCTTTCCCTGGAAAACATCTCCATTTCACAGAGTTGTGAGAATAAAGTGTGCTTTCTCCCTCTCTTTTCCATGGCATTTCATTTCTCTTATTTTCCATTTCTTTGTCTCCTTGAGTTGCAGTCTGCATCATTTCTTCAGCTCTATCTTCCAGTTCAAAAATGATCTTTCCAGTTATGTTCTACCGTGATATTTAACCTATACATGAATTTTTATCTTAATGATATCATTTCTGGGCATTTTTCTTGATGATTTTTCAAAATCTACCTAGTCAGTTGTGAATCTTTTGTTCCTTCATCATATTTTCAATCCTTTTAAGAATTTGTTTAAGCATATTAAGCATACTTAGTTTCTGTTCTATCTCTGATAATTCTAGTATCTACAGTTTTTGAATCTGATTCTGCATTTTATTATTTATACTGCCCCTTGTTCATGATTTTTCATTTCTCCCATGTTTATTAATCATTTGTTACAAGCTCATGTTATTTGTAAATTTACCTATATGAATTTTTTGAGCCCTGGTTTTAAGACTATTCTCTAGAAGTGCTTTCAATTTCTTTTTACTAGCTATCTGGGGTCAGGACGCTTTTAAAGTCAATAATAAGTGTAGAGTGTTGACAGCTACACAGGTAGTTTGTTGATTCCAGCTCCGACTCTTTGTGAGTGTGGGCTTCTGTTGAACAATTCCCAGTTGAGACTCATTTTTCTTTTCCTTTTCTAGCCAGAGCTGAGGCTGAGGCAAGATGGGCAAGATACAAATTCCCGGCCTCCCTTTTCTGGATAAGACCTTTCTATTTTGCCTGCTGAGAATGTTACCCTTTGGGAGGTCTGGCTTTATGCAGGAGTCTGTGATTTCACCTCCCACCTTATGCAGGCCCCAGCTTTGCTTTCTGTCCCTCAAGCTCTCTGCCATCAGTGTGGTGCAGATATTCCTAAGGCTCCAGTATCCTCTTACCTCTGAATTCTCATGCTGTAGTCATTTCTGATATCAGATTGTTTCCCTTACTTTACTGTAAGCTTGGCCCTGTTTTGAAATAGAAGGTTTTTACATATTTTATTCATCATTTTAAGTTTTTCTACCAGGAGGCATTTGTCTGGATATCTAATCCATTATATAGCAGGAAAGGGGTTGCACTACCCGTATTTATAAATAGATGGTTAAAGTAACCACAAGTGAAAATGCCCTCCAAAATATTCTTACTGGTTTTGAAGTTAATTTTGAATTAAACATGAAACAACCTACACATGGAAATGAATCTTCCTAGCATGTGTTGGAGAGTTTTGTGCTAATTGGGTGTACATTGAAATTTGTTTGTCTAAGTGACACATCATTTGACAAACATCTCATGCTTAAGGTTAAGTAGATTCTGTGTAGGAGTCAGAATAATGGAATTTTAATTAAGCCTATGCCTGCTTTATTGATATTTAAGGACCACAATACATTTTCAGTGTGTGATTATAATTATGTGTGGATTTAGAAATAAAGCTATCATTTTATTATTGTTCCATTATTTAATTACATTATTATTCTCTCTTCATTAGTCATTAGATGGCTTTATGATAATCGTGAGCACAGATGGAGTGATAATTTTCGCAGCTGAAAGCATCTTTTCTCTCCTTGGCCATATACCAGTAAGTTCTTCCAGCTTTGGGGAAAGGATCACTCTGTGTGTGGTTTAGAGGTTCATTATTTGTTTTCAGAAGCACACAACTCATCAGAGAAGACATTCTCAATGTTGTTTAAAATGTGCACCTGTTTTGTTGTTCTCTCAATTGGTTTCAATTTTAAAAGTATAAAAACAAACTTCTAAAACAATCAGAGGTAATGAAACAGTGTGTGTGTATGTGTAAGGTAGGGGGTGGTTTGTAAACTGACCCTGAAGGGGATCTCCAAAGAAGACCATGGTTTGTCAAATGACAGTCTTCTCTGAATCAGTGGAGGCTCCCTAAGGAGAATACTTTGCATGGCAGCCCTCAGCAGGATGAACGTGTTTGATTTTGTACATGTCTTGAGTCCACCACATACTCATTCAACAAGGAATGTCATGATTTGTTCATGCTGCTTCATGGCATCCATTTCCAGGTTGGATTTGCTTTTTGTTTCTTTATATTGAAGAAGAAACTCTGATATCATTTAGAAAAAAATAGAAATGACCGCATAATTTAACAATGTTGTAAGTATCCCTGGAGACAGCTACACATGAGTTAGAGTCTCTGATGTTCAAAATTGGTTACTCATTTCTGAACCCTTTGGTGTTACTTTATCCCTCTCAGGAAAATTTCTATTTCTTCATAACACCATTGATTTACAATATATGATTTCTTAAAACTTTTTTCTGGATCTTCAGTCTGCACGCCTAACAAATATATCACTTCAATATGAAAGTACTATTTATCTTCATATTGTGTGAAGACATCCACCACCACTGCCACCACTCCTGAAATCTGTCACTTGGCTGGTTGTGTTAATCACATCTGGATTGTTGCTTTCATTGCATATTCCTCACTCCACAGAGTTGTCCTAAGAACTTAACGAACCCTGACCCACAGATCTATAGCACTCAAGTTTGAAAATGTAAAGTAATAGAAGTTTTGTTAAATTACCATTTAGTTAAGTTAGAAGTGGAGCTTATTAGGATCTTATTCCACTAGAATAAAATGCTTTTCAGGCCAGCATGTTGCATAGCCCACTTGGAAATTCAGAGAGCTTTTCTATTCTTTTCTCTTTATTTAAAGATACTATGATACATTTCTTTATTTTTCATTCTCTTCCTTTCCTTTAGAAAACAGTTTACACTTTCAAATCTAATTTATATTTTAGGATGCCAAAACAGCTGAATAAAATACAAATATAAGAGATATTCATTGAACTGAACTTAGGAGTATTTATAGAAGGAGAATGGTTTTATTAAATCTATATTAAAAGAAAGACTGTAGATGTTACAGATTAAATTACAGATTAAATTTTGTTATAGTGAAGACCAGAAAACTACCCAAATTCTTACGGTATTAGATATTACTTAAACCAAATTGGTCATTGATTGAGGCTGGTGACTTTTTCCTACTAAACATGAAGATTTTTCACAGTGATGATGTTATAATATTATCCTTGATTCTTTATGTATTTTGGTTCAGAATTTTCACTCTTAAGAGGCTCTTTCACCCTTCAGTGTTTGAGGTAACATACACACACACACAGACACACACACGTGTACATACACACATAGCATACACAGTCACCCTAAGGTAGTGGGTTTGAACTACTAATCTTAAACCATGGGCTTGGTAACCTGAGATTGGTATACTTAAAAACAAAGCTATAGTTATTGCATCTGTACATAAACATTAAATGGGAATGAGTTTATATATCCTTGTAAAATAGGATTGAAAAGAACTATTCCTGAGGCACAATTTCACACTTCCCCTCATTAAATGCTATCTCATCTTAATTTTTAACCATGCAATTTGTTCTAGGCTTTGATTAAAAATTTCATTTTGTGAGTCACTGCTCTTACATTAATATGGAGAGCAAACCATTTCTAGAGTATCTGCTTGGCTCCAGGAGTCTATAGTTTCAGTAAAAATCAAGGCACCTCTGTCTGTTAGGCTACTCTAAGCTGATAGCATGGTGGGGTGGAAAGAACTTGGTTTTTGGAGTCAAAAATCTGTAGATTAAAATTTAACTCTCACTTACTATGTTAGCTTTGGTTTATCAACGGTAAATGGGGGAAAATACTACTTAGAGAGTGACCAGAAATGGGCTATTACAAATGATGTGGTTAGTGAGGGCCCATCTAATTATTTGGACAGAGACTTGAATGGCATGTGGATACTGGAGCAAGTGCATTCCAGTCAAATGCAAAAACAAGGGAGAAGGCATGAAATCAGGAAAATACTTGGTGTGGAAAAGCTATGGTAAAGAGGCAGTGCTGTGAGCAAAAAGAAAAATAGTAGGAGGTGAGAGGGTCAGAGCAGTAACAGAGGTCCACCTGGTTTAGGGCCATTGTAATGACTTTGACTATTCCTCCCAGGCACTTGGGGGTTAGGAGCAGATGAGGGAACTGACCTGAACTTAACTTTTATCAGAATCACTCTGGCTCTTTTATTAAGAATAGGCTATGGGGGTAGGCATGGAGGTGGGGAGTCCACTTGGAAAGCTATTGCAATAATCCAGGCAATAGATGGTGATGGGTTGCATTAAGGTGGATGTGGAGTAGTCAGTGTTCTGGAGGTAAAATAAGTTTTGCTGATGGATTGGATGGAGGTGTGACAAAAAGATGGGAAAAGTCAAGTTATGATGTTATAAAACATACCATGACTAAAATGATGGCTAATATCATTATCATGGCATTTAGCTTATGCCTGAAATCTGCCATCACATTTTCCCAATTATTGATTTCATTGACAGTTTTCCCTTTGGAAAAACTTATAGTAACTTGTAGCGGTAACTTGCAGTTACTTATATTCACTACTTCCTGTCCAAGCAGCCTGCCTTTCTATGCACCCTACCTCATCACTCCCCTCAAAAATGTAAAACACAGGCTTGTTATCTTTTATAATTTCTAAACAAAGGAAACTTTTCAAATACACATTTCATCACGTAAAGTGTTTCTCAGCATGGAGTTTTTAAGAGACTTTAGCAAATATGAAAACAAATATATGTATGTATATGCATGACTGAGACATTATGCTGTACACCAGAGATTGACACATTGTAACTGACTGTACTTCAATAATAATAATAAAAATACTTTAGCAAATTTTGAACATAGGTTATATGGCTAGTTTGTGATAATTGTGGTGAGTTTTGCTCTGTTCTCCCTGCGAAGATTACATCATAGTAGAGACTGATGATGAGTCTTGTTTGATTCAGGATGTAGTCCAAATCTCGTACCTAGGCTCTTATCCTTCTTGATGCCCTATACAGTTGAACAGTTCTCTAATGCAGGTTTAATGTGAATGTCTCTGCCAGCAAAAAAGATACTGCTTGCCTGAATTCTCATTAAATGTCAAGGAGTGGAGTAAATTTCTTTATTCTTTTTTTGGCATAAGTGAGACTCACCTTACTAATATGTGTGGGACAACTAATAGGTATTTGCAAACTTGGCTTTTAAAAAAACTCCTTAATTTTTCACTAGTATTTGTCCTTGCTTCATTAAGCTCCAAGTACCTTGATCCTTCTGCCTTGTGTAATAAGGAGAGCAAATGCCAAAAATTTACAAAAATAACATGGTGTTGATAATGCTTTCAGGTCTCTGCCCTTTGTCTAACTATAAAGCAAGGTCACTGGAATGATTGTTAGGACCACTGTTTTAAGTTGGTGGTCAGTGATAAAGCATTCATTGTCACTGTCATCTTCCTTAAAGAATGTAGTTAATTAACAAGAAACTCATTGCCATTGTTTTCCATCCAAGGGAATGTATGCTATTAAAAGAACTGCTCACTTTAAAAAAAATTTTTAATTGAGGTTACAATGTTTCAATTTCTGGTGTACAGCATAATGTCCCAGTCATGCATATATATACATATATTTGAAGACTGTTCACTTTGAATTTTTTAAGTGACAATGCTATCCTCCATTCTTCTACCAGTGAAAGAACTGGTAAGCCTTAGCACTTTGTACCTCTCCTTAGAGTATTATTTTATACTTGGCCATAATTGTTTGTGCATGTGTCGTCTGTCCTACTGAACTATGTGTTCATTTAAATTATAATGAACATGTCAATTTCATCTTTTTTAACTCTCATACGTCTCAGCCAAAAAATAATAATAAATTACTTCACATAGAATATTTAAAATGCAAAAACTGGCCCAGTAGCAAATTGGCTGCTCTTGGTGCAAATTGGACTCAAGGCAGCAATGGTGTAGTGGATCGAAAAATGAATATGGGGTCGGATGCAGCTGGATGTGAATCTCATCTCTGAACTTGTGACCCTTCAACAATTGGACCAGCTTTAATTTCTCAATGAATGAAATAGAAGATAATTCTTCCTTTCACAGGGTATTAAGTGAGCTAGTTAGTGTAAATGTACCTAGAACAATGTTCTGACATGGAGCAGTTGTTAATCACACATTAGATGAATGAATAAATGAGTAGTCTCTACTGACCAGAGATAACTTGGTTTGGTACCTAAAGTGTATTTTATAACTAAACCAATGAAAGCATTTTTATTGAAAAAGTTGAGTTTAATGAAAAATATTTCTTTTGGGAAGTCAGTTTCTTACTGTGTGACTTTCATTGTCAAAATCTATTGCCTGTTAATTTCATAATGTTTGCTGTGCTAAATTAAGGTTATATTTCTGCCCTGAATTGAGCCAAGCTTTTTCTTGATTGAGACAGGATCCATCTGCTAATTTGAACATTGGCCAACTCATAGGCTGCCTTCTACAAATGGGCCATAAAAATATATTTCTGAATTTTTACTGTAGATTATTAATATTAATCAGTTAAAATCATTTGAATCTGTGGTTCATCACCCAAAACCATTATTAAGCTACACAGAATACTTTGTTTATTATTTTGTTCCTATCACATTAAAAACTCATTACTTAACTCAATGTCTGATAGTTTATTCACATGTTGCCATATTTCAACTACATGGTACAGCATTAATCATTTATTCAACTAATATTTATTGAGTGCTCAATTGTGTGAAGCTGTGTTCTAGGTGTTGAGAATGTAGCAGTGAATGAGACAGCCAAAGTCTCTGTTCTAATGAAATTCATATTTTATTGAGGGAGACAGGTAATAAACAGATAAACATATACACGTGGCTCTGATGTCAGGTAGTGATAAGTGGTATGAAAACAAAGATAGGAAGAAAATGTCAGGGAACTGATTCTGTTTAAAATACTTTTGGGTCAAGACTTCAATGAAGTAAGTATCTGAGAAAGAGTTTTTCACGCTGAATGAAGAGCAAGTTTAAGGGCCCCAAGATGACTGTCTGCTTGGTGTATCTGGATATGAGCAAGGAGCTGAGTGTACCTGAAGTACAGTGAATGAGAGAGTGGGAGGCGCCAAGGTCAATAGGTAGCAAAGGGCCAGAGAACAGAGCTATAAAGGACAATGGAAGTACTTTGGCTTTTCCTCTGAATGACTTGGGTAGCCAGTGGGAAATGCTGAGCATTTTCTGAATGACTTGGTCTGACTTATGTTTTAAATTAATCACTCTAGCTGCTCTGTGGAAAATGGAGTGGAAGCAAGAGTGTGACAAAAATAGATGCAGGGAGATCAGGGAAGGCTACCGCAGCCATCTAAGATAAGAATGATGGCTTAAGCCAAGTGGTGAGAATTAGACAGCTTTTTTATGTATTTTGATGGTAGAACCAACAGAGTTGCTGATGGACTGGTTTTGGGGTTTGAGAGGAAACAGGCAAATCAAGGACAAGCATGTGGGTAAATGGTACCCTTTACTGAAATGAGTAAGACTGAGGGAGAAGCATGGTTTGTGAGGGAAAATATCAGATGCACTGTTTTGGATGCCTTAAAATTGAAATCCTATTACACATCCAAATTTAGTTTATCAAGAAGAGTTCATGGAGAAGTCTGGACTAGAGATGAGAAGTTGGGAGTCACTGATAGTTAGATGGTGTTTAATGAGATGGAACTGGAAGAGACTATGCAGGGAGACAGTGCAGTAAGAGAAGAGGTCCAATGATGAGGCCCTGGGCAGTCCAATGCCAAGTACTCAGGAAGAGGAGAAAGACCCAGCAAGGAAAACTGTGAAGGAGTAGCCTTTGAAGCAGAAGGATATCCATATGTGTATGGTATCCTGGAAGCCAAGCAAACAGAGTGTTTCAAGGGAGAAGGAGAAATCAGTTGTATCATGCTGAGATGTTGGGTAAGATGATGATTGAGAATGGAGTACTGAATTTGGCAAAGTGGAGGTCATTGGCAACCTTGCAAAAATAGAGTGGTTAGGATAAAAATCTGATTAGTGTGGTTTCGAGGGAGACTGATAGGTGAAGAAACTAGAGACAGCAAGTGTAATTCCTTTCAAGAATTTTTGTTCTAAAGTGAACCAGAGAAACAGAGCTGGAGGAAAGGATGTAGTGCCAAGGAAGGTTTTGGATTTGGGGAATTTTCTGTTGTTTTCATTTGCAAAATGACAGTTATTAAAGCATCTCTGATATAGCATTTGCATACTATGGGAAAAGCCCAGCAGAAAGGGAAAGTTTGATGATGTGGGGAGAATGGGGAGACTTTCTGGAATGATGTCCTTGAACAGTTGAGAGAAGGAGAAAGACAGTGCACTAGACTTAGGGAGAAGCTTACTCAGTGAAATAAGAAAGAAAGCAGGAGCAGATAGGTTGGTAGATTTGGTGCAGGGAGATATTGACATTTCCTTCTCCCTTTGTTTTTCATTGAAATAAGAAATGTGATCCAAAGCTGAATATGAGGATGGTGGCGAGGGTCGGAGGCTTGCAGGTTTGAAGAAAGAAGAAGAGGCAAGAAACCATACTGAAGAGTAGGAGAGTAAATTGTCTAGGGAACTGTGGAATGATTTCTAGGCAGAGCTAAGTGCCCTTTAAAAATGATACACAGCATGGTTGTGGATTTTCCTCCATACACATTCAGTTGCTTGGATGGAGCCAGTGGAGCCAATGAATGATTTAAAATTCACTGACGCTACCACAAAATAAGGAAGGTATAGGGTCAATGAAGAGTTGAACTTAAGCAGAGTTGGGATTTCCCCAGGGAAATAAAAGCTCATGGTTGTGATTATAATGATTGACTATGGAATCTGAACTGGATAAGGAGGGATGTAACAGTTTGAAGGTGATAAGGCACACTGAAACTGTGGTAGGAATGGGCTGGAGGTCTCAGTGGGTGGGGCAATCATTGGAGAGGTGGGGTACTTGCGTGAGTGTACTGGAAATTTAGGAGGTGATGGTCATAGGATGGGGTAATGTGAATTGGGACTTTTAGAAATCTAATGGGCATGACCTTAAGATGGATCAGATGATAAGCTTAATGTAGATAAGGAGACAGAGGAAATGAATATAGTAGCACATATAACACAGTTTATTCTCTCTTTCCCTCTTGAGGATGAACTTGTGGGTAAAAACTTATTAAGCCTTCTGCCTGAGGAAGAGAAAAGTGACGTCTCCGAAAAGATTGCTTTCAAATTTCCTTTATCAAATTCAGGTACAGATTGTTTTTTTCAAATAGTAAGTTTTAGGTTTTAAGAGACAGATAACAATCACTGAGAGAAAGATAAAAATAATGACATGAGAGCCAATATAGCTGCTGATCCTATATTAATTTAACTTAATATAATTTCATAAATTATATTTCTAGTGTTAAAGAATCTCTCTTTCATTAAATCTTGTTCATTATCATGAACCTTGATAGTTTCAGCTTTTGCATAATTGCATTACTGTTATATAAATTATGTTCTAGTTGGTACCCCACTCTACAGATATAACATAGATAGCTATGCAAATGCTAACATTCATGGAAAGAAAATAGTAATTTTGTAAAATCTACTCTAAGTAAGACAATAGTTGTATGAAATAATCTGCAGAATATAGTTAAGTACCAATGTCAATTTGTTTTGTATCTGTTTTCTTTTAGTAGGGAAACATATTGATTTTTGCTGTCATTTAAGAAGAAGAAACGTTGAACGTGATAGCAGCCCTTCTTATGAATATGTGAAATTCATCCTGAGTCTAAGAGATGTTTCTAATGGTGAGCAATTCAGTTTTTAATCTGATCTAGATGAAGTTCATGAGTTATGCAGCTCTTCATTGCTAATATAAATGCCCTTCCACTGTCTGTACTCTCAAACTCTCTGACACTCTTATGACCACAAGTTTTAGTTACAGACATTAATTAGACTTAAAAAAAATGAAATTTACAAGGTGGAGTTATATAGTAACATGGCTGAACTGATAAGGATGGCTCTTCCTTTCTGTAAATACAAGGAAATTATTGTTAAACCTAATTTAAGAAGTTTAATGCATAGCCAATCTTAAGGGAAATCCATGGGTGCCAGAACTTAAAGGATAAAGTACAGGACCCAGTGATAAGAGGGAGCTGATTTTGTGGTGGCCTCAGTGAATTTTAAATCATTCATTGGTTCCACTGGTTGGGATCTGGAGTTCTAATACTCATTCAAGGACCAACACGTAAAACCTAGGACTTAAAATTATCAGTAAAATTCTGTCCACTGGTCTAGAGAAGGAATATGTTTGCTATCTCTCTCGGAGTTTGAGTAGAAAAAAAATGTGTCATTTACAAATCACAAACCACATCTGTGTCTGTCATGTGGATATAGGATCTGAATTTATAATTATTAAGGTTTCAGGAGCTGCAAGCTGATAAATTAACATAAACACTGATTTTGTGCCATTAAAACTTGTAGGGCTTGAGTCAGAGGTAAATAGCCCAACAAAAATGTGAAAGGATGCTCAAACTCACTTAAAAAATTTGAAAACCAATGAGCAGTAGCACTGTACATCCATCAGAATGGCAACATTTAGAAGTGTGAATAATAGCAAATGTTGGTGAGGACATGAAAATTGAAAGCACTAATACAGTGAGTGTTGAGAAATATAAACTCATGAAACTATCCTGGAAAACAGAGTGAATGTAAGTTCTGCTGATATCTTGTAACTCAGCAGTCCTATCGTTCAGTGGAAATATCTCAGAGGTGAACTTCCAGTGAGATCTGTGTCTAAGGAAACATGTACTGTGTATGTCATAGTGTTGTTAGTGGTAGGTGGGAGTTCGAGACATTCTAGGTGTGCATCATTAGGGAAATGGCCAAGTAAAATTTGGGAAATATACAATATGGAAAACTCTGTAATAGTTAAAAGCAAAAAACTCTGGATATACATAGTACAACGTGGTTAGATCTTAAAACCATATTGTTGATTTAAAAAAGCTGAGAAACCAGAATGAGACATATAGCACGATATCACTTTCGTAAACTGCAAAAACATACAGTACATAAAACCAGACTACATATTTTACAAGGATATATATTTAAGGTGGTAGATCAGAGTGGGTGCCTGTGGGTAGGGAAGGGACAGAGAGAAAAAAAATAAAAATGAGAGTGGGAACTTTATCTGTGTTCATAATATGCCATAAACTCGCAATATAATTAAGTTTTTTGCCACTGAGATCTAAAAGTATAACAAATGAATAAATGTGCCTGGCTTCTTGCATAATCGGCCTGTCTCTCTAATAGACTGTTGCATGTGTCTCTGTCTCCCTTAGAGCCCCTGTTGCTCTTCCGTAGCTTCTTTCCCAGACAATCCTATGAGTCGTCTGCTACAAATTTTCCTTTGAAGGATCAGTTTTATCTGGTGGGGACTGTTTGTGCCCTTAAAGCTCAAACTCTGCAGGTGAGTATGTTGTGTGTATGCCTCCCACATTGTGACCCTGTGAGCTTCCTTTGAAAGGCCATGTCCCCTTGGGTTCCTCGGCCACTGGATGACATGACTAAAGCACCTGATGTGTGCTGAAGGTTGTGTTAAAATAGATACATGAATGAGAAAAGATCAGCTCCTGTGTTTCAGAAGGTGAACTTGTGAGTGGAGATCTGGACGCACCTAGAAGAAATGCACACTCACTGACTCTGATATCATTTTAAAGAGGTACACAAGGGCTTGGGGCTGTGACATGTTAAGAGAAGTGATCCTTTTGGCAGGAGGATAAAGGAAGGCTTCTGTCATGAGGTGAGTGTTCAGGCAGGTCTCCTGCCCACCCATTGCTGACTTAGTATTCTCATCATATAGCACTCACAGAATCTGTCTCTAAAAAGAAAAATCAGTCTTTAGAATCCAACTGATAGCTTCAGGCTAATGAATTATTTCCTAATTAACATATTTAATAAGCACATACTATATGCCAGGCACTGTGCTCAGTGCTGGGGAAACAGACAATAGGCAAGTAGCATTGACATATGTGATGGAGACAGGATCACGTGCTAATGACAGGTGGGAGTAGGGAGTTCAGACAGAGTGCTCAGGGAAGGCCTCTCTCTGGTGACCTGTCTTTTGAACAGAAACCCTGAAGAACAGAGTAATAAAAAATAAGGTACAAGAGGTAGGCAGGGGCCAGCTGATGTAGGACTTTGAGAACCATGGTAATGAGTTTGGGTTTTATTCCAAGTGCAGTGGAAAGCAGGAGGATGACATGATCTGATTTTCTTTTTAAAAGATCAGGCTGCTGCTGGCTGGGATGAGGAGTATCGGGGAGTGATGTGAAAGCTGATAGGGTTTGGACTAGGATTGTTGTCATGGAGATAGATGTACACAGATTTGCGTGATATTTTGGAAGTAGAGCCCAAAGTCTTTGCTAATGCGATGCAAATGGATGGGAGAAGACAGAGAAATGACTCAAGGATGACTCTTAGTTTTTAGTACTGAGCAGCTCAGTGAATGAAATTGCCATCAAGTGACTTGAGCAAGACTGGGATAGTGTGGATTGGGCAGGTCGGGGGGGACAGGAACTGGGGGTGAAATCAAAAACTCTCTTTGAGCTGTGTTCATGTTGTGATGACCTTGTGACATACAACACATTCACCTACGTGACAAGACAGGCCTCTTTATCCAGACCACCTGATTTCCCATTCTGACTCTACCAGCTGCAGGACCTTATCTAAGCCACGTCTTTTAGCCTCAGTTTCCTTTTCTATAAATGGCGATAGTAATAACTCTTTTTATGGTTGTCATGAAGAGCAAATAAGACATCACCTCATATCTGGTCAGCATTCAGTAAATGTGAGCTCTTACAGTCACCATGATTGTCGTCATTCTTATTATTAGTATTAGCGTTAGCACTGTTATGGGTGGGACCCAGAGAAGGCAAAAGACCTGCTTTACTTTTCCTCTGACCACATTACAGAAGCTGTGAAGGACTCCTTTATGTTAAATTTTAGAGTAGTGATCTGTGTTATCACTTTTCCAAATTTAAGACAGTGAGAAAAGTGGTGGAGAGAAAGCAATTGAATGAAGTTCTTGGTCTGGTTGGCCCATTCATTATCCTTCTCTGGTGACTGTGATTTAAGCTCTCATAACTGTCATGAGAAGGTCGACATCCCATCTAGAGGGTCACCCCCCAAATCTCCCTCCTCTGAGAAAGAGAAAAATCTCATTTGTCACACTACCCCTCACCCTAGTCCTCATGACACAAGATCTCTATTTGTGATCTATCCCAGTTTTTCTCAGGGTTTCTAGGATATTTGCTCCATATTAGTGGTCATTTTAGAGAACAAATCTTGTGAGAACAGAGAGGTTTTTGGAGGAAGATGATTTTCACAGTGTGGCTCTGTAGCACAGTGGAAGAGCACGCACCTCAAGACTTCAACTTTGAAAAGGATCTTTGATTCTGCATCTACTAGCTGTTTGTCTTTGACCAAATCATTCTATCTCTATAATGCTCAGTTTTCACATCTGTAAAATAAAGTGCCTTTCTCACACTGATATATAGATGAGTTGGGTGTGAGATTGCTTTCAAAGTTGATACATCCTATACAAATAATGTCAGGTATTTTGTACTCTAAGTACATTTTAAGTATCTAAAATGCCAGTTTTTCTGCAGGAACTTTTCACTGCAGAGGAGTCCAATAAAGATGCCCTGCTGACACAAGATTCGGATGAGGAATATCTATCTCTGGACCACAGGTGAGAGGCTAATGTTGACGTAAGTAATGGAGGTGTAGGGCATAGTTTTATTAAACAAAACTGAAAGAACAGAAATAACATCTATGAATATTTTTCCATCAAAATGAAAACAAAAAACACAATTGAATACAGATGAGCAATCTCCTAGACTGAATATAAATATAAGTGATTGGCTTTTTATCTTTTTTTAAAAGCAATAAATAGAGCAACCTTAACTGCTGCCGGCATTTAATGACTTTCAAATTAAGACAATACATTTACAAATAGACTTGATTGCTTCTTTTTCTTGAAACACTTTAAATAGTAGAAGAACAAATAAGCATTATGGTAACTGCTATTATACAGGTGTCCCTCTTTTTGTGAATCTAATCTGTTCTTGAACATTTGTTTGTTAACAAATTTTCAGAGAACAAAAGCCAGTAATTTCATTATTTTGAATGGGAAAAATAAAAATGCGTTCCTAACCCATAGGAAAATGCCAACTTGCCTGATATCACTAAACTCCTTAATACACCTATTTAACAATCTACCAAGAATTTGGATAAAATGTAAATTGCAGTATTATCTAGTTATTTAATATTTGATAAACTCATTAGTAGGTATTTTGTACATAGTAAACCATAATACTTGACACTGCTCAGTATATAATATTGAGAATGGATTACATTTTACTTCTATGTTACAGTGTACATGGATATGTAAATAAATAACAAAATAATATGTTAAGGATGAGCACTCCATGCCAGTAACACCTAGCAAAATCAAATAAACAAGAGGACTTCTTGAGAGGTTTCTTAAAATGGAAGGCACATTTGTGTGAGGTCTGGTGATGAAAGGAGGGAGCTGGAAGCTGTAGTCTCTGTTACTCTTTGCTGGTGGGAGGAGGTAAGGAAGAAAGAGCTGGTGAAGAAATGAGTTAAACTGGAAATGTATGAGGTTCATCTGTGTCTGGATCTAAGGAACAGGGGAGAATCTTGCCTTCCTGACAGGAGAGCTCAGAGGTGTTTGGCTAAGAACCACTGTCTGAAGCTACACACAGAGCAGTGGGATGAAAAACAGAGCTCACGGTGGCAGTCTGTTTGCATTCCCTTTACGTGGCGTACTACAACTCTTGCTAACATGAGACCGCATTTGTGATTGTGTGTTGAACGTGATAGGTCTGCTCCTGCCATAATCACACTCACTTTACCCAGCAAGGTGTAAATATTCACCACTGTATTTGTGATTCACAGGTGTTAAGGACATCGTGCATGGCCAAGCTTAAAACTAATAGCCATTCAACCCTTTTTTAAATTGAATTGTCGCTTTAGTTCCATTTGCATCCTTCAATTTATAACTCATAAGAGAAGCAATAATGCTTTCAGAATCCTTAAGTAGCTTTTCATATTATGAAGTGGTAGGATTGGGAGTTTTCTTTTCTTTCTCTAAATTGAAGTGTAGTCAGTTTACAATGTTGTTAATTTCTGGTGTACAGTAGAGTGATTCAGTTATATATGTAAATATATATATTTTTCACATTCTTTTTCATTATAGGCCATTATAAGGTATTGAATATAATTCCCTGTGAGCCATGCAATTCTTTTTTTTGTTGAAGTATATTCAGTTACAATGTGTCAATTTCTAAAAAAAAACTAAAAATAGACTTGCCATATGATCCAGCAATCCCACTCCTGGGCATTTATCTGGAGGGAACCCTAATTTGAAAAGATACACGCATCCCAGTGTTCATAGCAACACTATTTACAATAGCCAAGACATGGAAAGAACTTAAATGTCCAGTAACAGATGACTGGATAAAGAAGCTGTGGTCTATTTATACAATGGAATACTACTCA